GTAAATATAAATATTCTTGAATAACTTTTTATATTTTTAACAATTTATTTTGATAAATTTATATTTACTAATTATTCTATTCTCTTTTTATCAGAATTTTTATTTTTATTTTTATTTATATTACTTTTTTCATTTCTTTTACTTTTTTTTACTTTTTTTTTAAATTTTTTTTTTTATTTTTTTATTCTTAAAATACATTTTTTTTAACCTTTTTTTTTTAAATTAATTTTTATTTTTCTTTTTTTTGTCTTAAGAAACAAAATTTTAAACACTTTAAGCCTACATATTTATTTTGAATAGTGAGGTTCAGTTCATACCAAATATTGGCTGAAGATTCAAATTATTTTTTTAGACTATTAAGGTACTAATATTCTCATTGTACAACTTGAGTATTATTTATAATAATAGTAACAAATAAGTACCAATTTTATAAATTATAACAAATTTATTAATTGTTTTATTTTTAGTATAAATCAATCACAAAAAAATATTAATTTGTTAAAAAAAATATAGAATTTTTTTTGATAAAAGTATATTAATTTTGTTGTAAAAATCTTATAATTTTCAATATAATAAAATATAATTTTTTTATTATTTTACATTTATCTTGAATAATAGATTCAGTTTGTATCAAAACTTAAATTTTTTCTTATTATGCTACCTAAGTACTATTTATAATAATAGTAGCAAATAAATACAAATTTTATAAATTATAATAAATCTATTAATTCTTTTGTTTTCAGCAAAATCAATCGCAAAAAATATTAATTTGTTAAAAAACATAATTTTATAGTAAAAATCTTATAATTTTCAATATAATAATATATATATTTTTTTATTATTTTTATATATTTTTAATTAACAATTCCTTATACATCATTTTTTATAAAAAAAAAAATGCTAAAAAAAATTCCTTATAAAATATAAGGAAATGTGATACAGAATTTAACAAAAATGTATACAAAACTTATTTATAATAATGAAAATATATGCAAATTTTTTATAGGGATTACATATATAATATACTTAATTTACATATTTTATATATTAGTAATTCTGTTTTTTTTCTTATTTTTATATATAATAATTATGTATATATTATACATTATTTATAAATATCAAAAACATATTATTTTTATATATATTTCTATATATAAATTTTTTATAGAAAATATTTACTGAGATTTATCATATAAAAATAACTTTTTAAAATTGAAGTTTAAGAATATAAACTTGCAATTTTTAAGAAGTTACCTTTTATTTGTTATTAGTAAAAGTAATTTTGAAACAAATAGACCTTTTAATTTAAGAATTTTATTGTTAATAAACCTTTAAACATATTTATTTTATTTGTTAACAAGTATTCTTATACAAATAAAACCTTTGAAATTGTAAATTTTAGCAGAATAAAGAATTAATTCCCTTTTATTTAATCATTATATATTAGCATAGTATCTTTGATTATTTTTGAAGTATTTTAAGAATTTTAAAGATTAAATCAGTAAAGTTCTCATACTTTTTAACTTAGAAAATTGAATTATGAAAGAACATTGTGATGAGATTTAAGAAAGAGCATGTGATGCTCTCCTTTAAAAATTTAAGCAAAAACTCTTCTAAACAAACTTGAATTTTGAGCTAAACTCAGCTGTTGCTCAATTAGTTAAGTGTTTCAATCTGCTTAATTGACAGTTGAGTAATAATATATTATTAAATCTTAGATATTAAATATTAGAATAATATTTAAATTAATAATCATTAAAATTAAAATTTAGAAAGATAATATTGATTAATTAAAATTAAAATTAAAATTAAATAACTATATCAAATTTTTAAATTTAATTTAATTTAAATCTGATAGATTAAATCAAATTAAATTTATTAGATTGAAATCAAATTTGAATTTGAATTTGAATCTAAATTTAATCTATCATATTTATAAATATCTGCTGAAACCTTTCCAAAATAATTTTGTTATAACCTTTTCTATATTTTTAATATAATTTTGACAGTTTCAGCTTTCATCGTATCAAAAGGATTTTATTGTATTTCTTATTAAGATTTTAATATAATAAACTTTATCTTCGATTTTTTGATTAAAATGGCAATAAATCATTCCATTTATTTTAGATTAATTATTAAGTAAAAATGTATTCCAAAAATGCGAGCTGAGATTACTGCACCAAATATTACCTACAGATTATTCCTTGTTTACTAATTTTAGAAAGTGCTTAGTATAAAAATTGAAATGTTATTACTCTTACGTCACAATGGGAAAAGAGGCTGAAAGAGGTTTAGCGCTATGAATGATCGTAACTTGTATTTATTAATAATGTAATCACGTGAATTGTACAAGGCATATGTTAAATAGATGATTATGAATCAGATTTATCAGATGAAATAGAAAAGAACTTTTTTTTTTATTTTTTTTTTATTACAATGCATTGCAAATATAAATACAATTTAAATTAATTAATCGATTTTTATGCCATATTTTCGAATATTTTTTTCTCACTTTCATTTCAAAATTTACATTAAAAAAAAAAACAACTCGAAATTTTTCAAATAGATTAGATTACTTCTCGACGAGATTTATTTTTTTTTTTTTTTTAGAAGATCCGGTAAAATTTTCTTTGCAACCGGATATTTGACCGGTAGATTAATATTTTTTATTTATTTGTTTGTCTTCGTCAAGATAAAAGCCCTATTCTTTTGATAATTCAAAAATTTATCACCAAAAAAGTAGAAACAATGCAGTTTAGCCCAAATTGTCCAAATTGTTTTTGCGGTCTCCCAGCATCGCCAGTTTATTCCGAAGAATTTGGCTTGTTATACGAATGTCATAATTTACACAATAATCCATGGGTTGAAGAACAGCTTTTGAACGGGCGAGGCAGTCCTGAAAGCGACCAAGTAAGATTAAAAAGTTATTTATAACTACTAATAATATAATTTATTAATCATTTTAACATTTCTCAAATCTGTTGAATGCAGTCAGATACAAACATAGTCCTTTCCTTATCAACAAGCAGACAAAAGGATAAAATATGCGGTTATCATATTCACAAAGATACCTGGGATAGTTTTTTCGATAGTGAAGGTTTAGATGCAGAACATCCAGAATTGGCTATTTGCCCATTTTTTAATTTCACCTTTTGTGCTTTCTTTCATCTAAAGAATACTTTCCGATTAAGCCATCCACCTCCTCCAAATTGTTTTTGTAAACTTCCTGTAACGATGCGATATGTTTACTCTCAGGATTTAAATCGAGAAGAGTTGAAGTTCGTTTGTCCAAATTATTTAATTGACGGAGCGAGACCTAAATGTACATGGATGTTATCGGCAAGTGAAGTGCCATTCAAAAGGCCTAACGGATGTACACATCCTTTGCAAAAGCAAGGTTCAAATAGACTTTTAGAGCCTAGTCAACAAATTCAGAGTTGTAATCACTCGATCATAAAAAGAGAAACATCTAACGGCTATAATTCTGGTACGAGAGGTCGATTTGGAAATAATGGTTATAATTACAACAGCGAAAAATACAAACCAAAGCAATTTTCTAATCATTTTCAACAGGAAGTAAGTTTCTTTGGTGATAAATATTCTTACAATGGGGATTTTAATAATCATAAATCAGAGAGATTGGATCATCATCATCGAGGTGAATCTAATAATGATCTCAGACCTAAGAATTGTAATTATCAGAATAACACACATCAGGATCAAAAACCTATATTTGATAATGACAGAAACGTATCGAGAAGAATAAGTAATGGAACAGGATCTTCTTATTCACAGGAAGGATGGGATCCTGGACGTAATTGGAAAGGAAGGCAGTATCATAAGAACACTTCATGGGATAATAATAAGAATTTACAAAATTCAAGTGGTTCAGATCATAAAGGTAATTCGAGCGGACAAGTTATAAATAAAATTACGAATTCAGGAATTAAAAACCGAGAAAAGTCAAATATTTCTAACGGTAGAATAAGTGCTAATGATGTAGCGCCGTCAATATCTAATGTAATATCTATGAAAGTTCACGTGAAGGAAACTTCTTATGTTACAAATTCCAATAAAAAACCTGTCACAAATTGTAAATGCGCAACAGATGCAACACGCCTTTTATCAGAAAATCAGAGGTTAAAATCTGAAAAGCAAAAGTTGATCTCTAAACATGAAGATGAAATAGATCAATGGCTTATGAAAGTGGAGGATTTAGAATACGAGGTGAAACGTCTTCTGAGTAGGGTAGGTCATTATAAAACTGAATACGAATCCGAACAAAACTTAAGACAATCTTGTCAGATGAAGATAATTGAACTTCAAGCTCAAATTGCGGATGTAACAACAAAAATCGATGAATTACATATTTTAAAGGAGAAGGAAAAAGAAGAATACGCTATGGGGAATATGAAATGTAAAGTATGTTTTGAAGAAACGATCACGCATGCCCTTTTACCTTGTTATCACTTTGCGTTGTGTTTTAAGTGTGCTCGGGCAGTTACTAAGTGTGTTATTTGTCGAAAACCAAAGGAGAAGATTATTAGAATTTATTTGGGATAATTATAATATTTATGTGGAATAAGGACATGAATTGAAGGAGTTCTTTTAGAAGAATATGACGGTCGGAGATAAATATTAAAAACTTCCCTGCAATAAAGAAAAATCATAATACGTAATTGCATTTGCATTAGTTTTTCTATTATAGCAATCCTTTACTATACACTATTCCTTAGGAAATCTTAATTTTTTATTATTTTGTATATATAATATATTCTTGCTAAACAAAAAAAAAAGAATACGTTAATAATAATACAGCTAGCTAATTTGGTTATTTTTAATAATATCTTTTGCTTATTGTATATTATTTTATTCAAACAATATAATCTCCAAGTTTCAAATAATAGATAAAAATAAATTTGCAAAGAAAAAGATAAAAAATTCTTATTTTATTTCTTGAATCAACATACCACCAAACTTAATGACCATATTTTCTCTAACTACTTTCCTCTCCCTTCCTAACCTGTATGGTTATAAATAACTTTACCTCTCCTTCGTTCTTTCTCAATTTTATCCAGCATTAATTTTCTTTGTATTAGGCCATCTTTAGCTGCTACACTAAGTACTCCTACCAATAATTCAATCCCTCTAACGGAATCATCATTGGCAGGTATAGGCCAAGTAACTTTATTAGGGTCAAAATCCGTATCAATTACTCCAATAGTAGGAACATTACCCTGCCTTGCCTCCTCAAGTACAATTTCATTTTCTGAAGGATTTAATAAAACAATTAAATCAGGTTTAAATACTTTTGAAATAACATCTTGTTCCTTTTTTTGGTATTAAAGAACCTAAAATTTGTTGAGAATTGGTTATAGTACCAGGTAACCAACGGGTTGTCAATTGATACTGATTACAACGTCTAGCAGCTTTTATAATACTGTTAGAAAATCCTCCTCCTCTCGTGTTAATAAATAATATTATACCGTCATTATATGAAATTTCTTTTATTGCTTTACATGCTCTACGTAAATAGATCAATGTGTAATCTAAATTTATTATATTTATACCATGTCTTATTCCAAAAATAAATGGTGATGTTTTTGGATTCCAAAGCGAGGTTGAATGTCCTAAATGTAAATTAGCCGTTAATAGTGATGAAAGTGTTAAATCATACGGTGAAGGTGGTGATTCTAAATTTTTGGTTGCTGAATCAAAGATTTTTTTAAATGATCCTGTTTGTTTTACAAATCCCGGGACTTTTTTTTATAAAAAAAAGAATTTAATAATGCATACATACTTATTTCTCTAATCAGAAAAAAAAAAAACTTTTGAATACCATCATCTTTGAGTCTGAATTTTGCAGGATCGATTGGGTTATCATCAATCGCTTTGTAAAATCTAGACGATAATTCCTGTTTAAAATCTATAATTTCTCGCTGTTGTTGCTCCTGTTTAGAATTTAAATTTTTATTATTAAGTAGTGAAGTTATTGTTCTTGTTGGTGGTACTATGTTATTTATTATATTTAATTAGTTAAGAGTTTAATTTATTTTATAATTCAAAATTCTATTAAAATATGATAATGCTTACTTACAATTTAACTTGCCATTAAAAGAAATAAGCGTGCGCGTATTATTTCGAAGTAGTTTAATTGAATGATACATCATATTCAATGAAAAAAAAACCCCCACCCCACAGATTAGAATTTATATCTTTTTTGTGCAATCTTTACCCAAAGGGAAAAAAAAAAAAAAAGGAATTGTGATAAATAGATTCGCCCCCACCTGGATTCGAACCAGGATCCTTTCGGTTAACAGCCGAACGCGCTAGCCGGTTGCGCCATGGAGGCTTTATATGCTAACAAACTTTTTATTTCTTATAATTTGGTTTACAATAATTAAACATCGTCGATTGAGTATCTAGCGCCGCTGCAAAAAAAATTTATTTGCCGGTATCATGTGACTTTATAATTATTAAATTTGTCACCCCAGATTACACCTTCTTCTTTTATAATGTTCTATATCAAATTTTGCGACCATTTTTTATCCTAATATAAAAAAAATTCCATGTATCTTATACACATGATTGCAGATCATTAATTATAAGAACTTATTATAATTTTTTATTTATTTTAATTACTTAATAAAATAAAAATATATTTTTATTAATTTAAAAAACTACAATTTTCTATATAATTTTAAGTTTATATTTAAAATTAATGTCAAATAGCTAATTATTAAATAAATTAATTAATAAAAAAAATAGATTAAAATGGATCTACTAATTTACCTCCATGCTATGATTGGCTGGTATAATAGATTATGCTTATTTATAACATCCTATAGCGTAACAAATAAGCATCACTTACCGAAAAAATTCTAATTCCCTCAAAAATATAATAAAAATTGAAACATCACCAGTGTCATGCTGATGACAAATCACCTAACACCTAACACCTAACTCTAATCTCAATTATTCCTTCAAGCGTTTTGCAGGCAAATTTGCCTACAATTTTATTTTATAATTAAAATTATTTATAATATTTTTTAAATATTTTTAAAATAATTTATTTTAAAAATTAATATTTTTATAATAAATTTATGATGTTTTCTAAGTAAAAATTCAAAAAAAAATGTAATTAATTAGTGATATTTTAAAGATAAATATATGATAAATTATTATGAAAAAAATTAAATTTTTAAATTTATATATCTTGCTATCTATTGATCTTAGAAATATAAAAATATAATTATTTAATAGGTCTTAATGAAATAAATCCAACTAACTAAATTTTATTTTCTTGTAATTATTTTTTTTAAGATGCGGTGATGCAATATTTTATTATAAAAATTAAGTTCTGTATAAAATACATGAAAATTTCAAGACAGGTACAAAAGTAGAAAAATAAAAATTGCTATCTAATATTCATTATTAGAAAACTAGCTCTCACTAGACCAACCGGTTATTCTATTTGATTCTGATTGTAAAAATTGACTAAATAATCATCAATACCAAACTGAATGATCAGAAATATTAGAATAACTAATTATCACCAGTCTAAGAAGAAGGACCAATGTTGATCATGTTTGTAAGAATTATTAATTAAAGAGAAATGATCTAGGCTATCTATATTATTAGCAAATTGTATATTAAAAAAACTGTTGATAGAAAAGTTAATATTAGATGAAGTAAAATTGCTCTTCTTTTGTTGCTTGATAATATATATAGATCATTCTTTAGCTAATGTTAAGTTACATCTAGTTTTTTATATATTGTTATAGGCATGATTGAAAATAAAATTAAAGAAAGAAGAAAGGATAAATGAAGTGGTAGATGATAATTTGGTAAAAGAAGTTAGGGTAGATGATAAAAGAATAAGAATAATGTCTTTAATAATATCAATAAAAGAGAAATCATATGGATTTACTCATAATAATCATATTGCATATAAGGGATTTAAAAGATTATTAATATCATTAGTAAATTCAGATTTTGAGGTGTAAATGAATAATTGTAGTTTAAAATAAGCAATGAAATCAAGGGTTGCATATATTGTTTGATGTCAAAACAGAGTCAAAGATAATTGAAGTCTTCGTTATAATTATTAAAACAGTAATATTTCTAAAAGATAAGTATAAATGAGGTTGAGTAGCTTTCATAAATTAAATCATTAGGAGTTACTTAAGAAAAAATTTGAGTTTCTACTGTAATTTCTTATTTTATTAAAGGATGTAATAGATGCTGATTCAGTTTGAATGAATTGAAAATTAATATCCAATTTACTTGTAAGTACTAGTATTTAGTATTTTGTTTGAGATAATAGTAATCAGAAAAATGTTTAGTATTAGTATAAACTTTTAAAAAGAAACGTAAAAGGTAATAAATAAGCATATGATTAAATTTAAATATATAATTAAGGTAAAAAATATAATCAAAGGATAAATTTAAAGAGAAAAAAAAGAGAAAGATTTTGCTAATTAATCAGCCTTATTATTATATAGGTTATTAGAGTGAGTAGTAACTTTAAAGAGTAAAATGGTAATTTGTTGTTCATCAATAATTTTAAAAATAATAGACTAGAAAATATAAAAGGGAATTTTAGTTCTAACTATATAATTATATGTATAAATAAGAATTAAACTATCTGTATGGATTAAAATTGAGAAAGATAAGAACTAATTAAAAGGACTAGAAGAAAGACAAAAATTTTAGCATTGGTAGAGTTAGCCTATATTGTAATAACAGCAGTTGAAAATTCTATGTTAAGAGAGTCATGAATCAGAAAAAATGCAGAATTTAAATATGAAGTGAATGATAAAAAAACAAATTTATGAGAACCATTTGTGTAAAATATAAGGAATCTTTCATTTTGTAGAACTTGGTGAAAGTTCAGTAAAAAAGTACTAATACTATTATTTGAGAACAAATTAGAAATAGTGATAAAGGATGAAGTATTGAAAAAGAGATTATTTGGAATGATAGTAAGAGGACATACCGTTAAATAATGCTAGTTTGCTTGATTAATAATTGACTAAATGTTTCTTTTGAGAAGATATAACTTGTTATTATTAATAAAAAAAAGATAGGTAACTTTGATTATTTGAGAAAGATCGTTATCAATAATGTTATCACAAGGCCAAGCAGTAATCAATGTATTAAAGTTAAAAATAGATTCTAGTGAGTTAAAAGAACATCCTAAATATGAAGTAAAAAGGTTTATTTTTTTAATACTAATCTAAGATCGTGATTAATAGCTAAATTGTTGATAAAGTATTGTATGGCAACTTTGTTAGATACAAAACAGGATCTGATAGCTTTCTCAATAATACCTTGACCAGTATAAGATAAATTATAGTAATTTTGTTCAGGTGATATCCATAGAGCTATCCAGGAGAATTTTTTATTATTGTCAAAGATAAAAGCAGTAATATATCCTTAAAGTGTGAAGTTAGCAATATAGTATTCAAGTTTAAGACAGTTTAAATGTATGAGGTTCAGAAAAATAATTTTTTGTAAAGCAATAAATCATCTTAGGATAGCACATCTATTAGGATTACTGAATTTGAAAGAAAGGTCGTAGTATTCTATCAAAAAATCTTCTTGAGTAATAAATTATTCAAGAAATAAGGCTCTACATCTTCTACGCAAAGGAATCTATTTCTTTTTCTATAGGATAAGAGAGTTAAAGGTTGTGAAATCTCCTTTGATATGAAAATTAAAAACAGTAGAAATAGTTCTATGTATTGAAAAAGGGGTCTGCAGATAGAGAGTAGTATATTGCAAAAGTAATTATTATATCTAACATTTTTTAGTTATGTTGGCCAATATATGATAGGATCATCTAATAATCAGAAAAAGTTTTGAATTTATTTGAGACGAATTTTCATAGTCAAAGAAAGTGGTAAATGATAAGCGTTACTATTAATGATTAAAGTAAATTACTGTAATTTAAAATGTAACATATTAGAAGCTAAATCATTAAAACTGAATAATAACTTATTTAAGAGTATGCTGTTAGGAGTACATTTGTTGAATTTGAGTTTACGTTTGATAAAAAAATGAATGCGAGCAAAAAAATAAAGCATTCTTTATATAAAAACATAATAAATTAGAAGTAGTATTCGAGTTGTAAAATAAGAACTTAGTTGTAAAGATATCTTAGTTGTTTGTCTGTCATTAGTTAGTATTAAGTTTTAAAATGAAGTTAGTAATTTCATTTTCTAGTTATTATTTCACAAATTTTTGTTATAAAAAGCTGAAATTTAAACTTCTAAATATTTAGTTGATTTATTAGACTTCTTAGTTAGTATAGTAACTGGACTATTCAAATAAGTATTATGAAATGAAATATCATTGATAGTTGCTTCAAAAGTAACTATAAATGATTTTTTCAGATTAACTTATATTAAGTTGAGGTCAAAGAAGAACTGTATTATATTAAATATATCTTTGAGTTTAGAACTACTATCAGTAATCTATATAGTATCATCTATGTATGTTAAATTTGAAATGCAGGTTGAAATATAATCTGTTTCCAGTTTATTAATATTTGGTGATCATGAGACATCTAATGTATAGTTTAAGTTAGACTTCTACATATGAGAGAGAAGAGGATTATAATAGATAACCTATAAGAATGCAGTGTTATCATATGAAATGAAGACACTATTTCTTCTATTGAGAAATAAATTAGTGATAAGCAATATAAAAGAATCTGAAATTTTTAGTTTATATAGGGCTTTCTTTAATATAAAAATATTAATTTGATTGTAGACTTTTAACATATTCTGAAAAAATATATATAGGTCTGACTTCTGATATTCAAGTATTTTCCTTTTAAATGGTGGAACTCTAAAATATTGTTAACTATATGCAGAGGTTTTAGTAATGTGTAAAATTCATGTGCACAATGTGCACATGTGAACATTAAATTTTTGTGTGCACATATTACACAGCATAAAATGTGCACAAATAATTACTAAAAATAGATAAATTATATATAAAAATGGATAAATTATTTATAAAAATGAAAATACTATATAATACATACATTAATTTTCTATTTTTAATATAACTTGTGCACATGACTTCTGGTCTAAATTTTATACACTGGATTCTAGTGTCAATTGATAAGACAAATTGATAAAGTTTAGTCCTTTGAGAA